AATAACAGACGGTTGTTGGGTGTCGAACAATTTCCCATATCGCCACATAATCTTCTGAACTTGTTTGGCTTGATCTGCATTGAGATGTGAGGTCAATTGTTCAATTCCGTCCCTGATTTCTTGTGAACGTAGCGCTTTCGCATGGAAAAATTTTTTCGAACAAGCGACAGTGTCTAGCATGATTCTTGATGATTGAAAGCTTTTTTATAACATATAAGTACGCTTCCCTTGGTTTTTTGAGTAAGTATAGTCCTGTTTTGTTGCTTAGTTACACAAGAGAAATTACCTTAAATGGCAATTCTACAACGTATAAGCAAGAAACGAGAAAATTTAGTTCAGCCGTAGAATAAAAGGTACCGCTTCCATCTTTCTTTCTTTTCATCTTATCATTTTTCCTTTTCCTTTTATGCGCATGTCAATCAATAAAATAAATAAAACTATAGGAAAAAGTAAGAAAAGACAAACTTTTATCTTATCATAAAAGTATTAATTGGCCTTTTGGCCCAAAAGACAGTATGCAAAATGACTTTAGTCCATACTCTGTCAGTTTCACGAAAATAAAATTAGTTATAGGATATATATTTCTTATTCGATTCCAGTCGGTATTATGCAAGCCATTTTTCCAAAATAGGTATGTCTGGTTTGTGGAATAGAAGGCCAATATCTTCAGGAAAGAATTTAGTGACTTATATAGATACATTTTTGATAAAAAGAAGTGTTATACTGAGCATTTTTTTATCCACTCAAGAAATGCTGGCTTCTCCTTTTTAATGAGCCATATTCACATCCTGGTGACGGCGCTATGTGTTGGCCGTCAAACGGCTTGAAAGCTGGCCGTATGATTGCATGTATTGTATAGACAGAACGCAAGAAAACAGTATCTATATGTAGCGACCTCATCAGGATGTGAATATGGCTCATTGGGAAATTGAATATTTAAGAAAGCAACGTATGAGTTTGTATATTAAGATTAAAGCATTTCTTGTCGTGAATCTGACGGAATAGTTATCGTTGCTATCAATAGATAGATGATGCTGATAGAAAAATATTTTGTTAGAAGGGAATGTGAAATTGAATAATATTAAAATTTGATAGTGTTTTCCTAGAGATGTATTCGCCGCAATGTTTACATATTTGAAATCATTCGATGCATTTATTTTATTTTAAAAAGAAGTGAAGCAAATGTGAATTTACCGAATGTTCAGAAAGAAACGCTCTTACTGTTTATACACGTTTTCAGTAGATAAAAGTTTGATATTTTCTTCTCCCATCTGACAATAATTTATGTTCAATACGTTTAAATTTAATATATATTTTAATTTCAGAAGGAATTTGGATTTTTTCACCTGACATTGTTTGACATTCTTCTGAACGAAATCGATTATGAAACAGTCAAAAAAGTTATACCAAATGAAATTATTAGTAGCATAATTCAAGGTCAAAAACTAATTATTAATGGTGAACAGTTTTCCATTAAGTTCAAGTGAGTACTCTTTGTTAAATTGGTAATCCACGAAGTAACCGACGAATGATGCTATTTGTTAACGTATAGTTCTCATTAGTAATGAGAACTATACGTTAACAAATAGCATCATTCGTCAATAAGGGTACATTATTAAACGCTCTCTATTTCATCATACTACACTTGCATTGTTTCTCTTTTTTTGTCAAAGGTTTATCTGATGGCGAAGACGAAAAAGAATATCAAAAATCGAATAAACGTGGTGAACGACAATATTTCTTATGTCGAGAACCAGATAATATCTTAGTTTTGAAAATGGTAGAAGCAGAAGGTGGCGGTAAGTATTCGGCTTTTGTTTGTATTTGGATCTAAGCTTTGCGTTTCTGTTTTTCCATTGTAGAAAAAATATCAGTTCTGACACGTCAAGATGAAATTGAAAGTATCATTCAATCTTGTGTAAAGCATTACGAAGAAAAGGATCGCTTTCCATCATCGACTTTTTGTTATAATCAGATATTAACGAAATTTTATATTTCGAAAGATCGTTTTCGTTTTATTTTTAATTTAATGTAAGTGGCACTTTCTCATCTCAGTCTTTATAGGTCATGTAAGCACAACCTTTCTCTATTTCCTTCATTTAGTGATCCGTTAATCATAGCTGGTAACAATTTATGCGATAATACAGATGCTGATAATATGAATCAGGGCAATGATCCGTAAGCAGTTATTTTGATGGAAGCAGGGGTGGGAAACTGATTGACATCCAACAGAATCTATCTTATGCCTCCGTTAGATTTCTGGCACATGCAATCAAATTTTCGATGTTTTCTTAGGAATAAAAGCCTTTTTTGCTTTCAGCAATACTTAGATACCGTAGATTTCTTTGAAAGGCTTATTTCTACTCCTTACTCGCTAGAATAGTGCAGGCACGCGTGATCGTTGTAGAACGCTATTTTGCCGCTCCGTAAATGGCATTTTATATCTGCAAATTAAGTTCGAAAGCTATTTACGAGAACAGCTATTTTACAGTTTAGCACTCCCCATGCAGATGAAAAAAGTCGTTCGAGGGGTGCGGCGAGTGCTCGAAAATTGGCCCTCGTCGAGGGCTCGATCCCTCGGAAAATGGCACTTCGGACCCTCGATATAATCTTTCGAGGGGTATCGATTTCGAGCCCTCGGATTTCAGATAGGTAGCGAGCCCTCCAGAAAAATTTCGAGCCGTCGAATAGAGATGTTCGAGACTTCCGAGCCCTCGTTGCCCAAAGGTGCGATTTTCGGGACTTCCGAGCCCTCGCTATTTCCGCTACTTCGAGGGGCGACGAGGGCTCGGGAGTCCCCGGAAATCAGCTAGGGCTCGGAAATACCCCTCGAACGCTTATATCGAGGGTCCGAAGTGCCGTTTTCCGAGGGGTGGAGCCCTCGGCGAAGGCCCATCGAAAGCACATTTCCGAGTACTCGAAGTACCCCTCGAACAACTGGTTGGGTCTTGCCGAAAAAATTTCCTTACTTACGCCCGTGTTCGTTGAGCCCTACCACTTTAAACATTTCGCGTCTCGAAATGGTACGCAGACAAACATAATAAACTTCTGTAATTTTAGGGTTCATGCAAGTGCTCAAGTACAAGCCTTTAATGGCAAGAAAGAAAAAATTGAGCTTAAAAAGAGTGACTATCCGGCTCAAAGGAACTTTAAAATGAAGATGGTGTATTGATCTCGTCGTCTTCGTTTTAGAAACACCACCAAAAAACGCCTTTCAATTAATAACTGAACAAATCGAAAGGAAGCAGAAGAAGAAAAAGAATATCAGCAACAGAAAAGTACATATAGTACTCCACCGGATATGCAGCAAGGGTTTTATTCTTCTGTTCTTTTTAGAATCACGCTTAATAACAGAAAAACCTGATGAACGATCATCATCAAAGGAAAACGAAGAGTTAGCATCGTTTACAGGAAAAAAACGTTCACGGTAAGCGGCGCAAGTCATTTAATGTTTCTTTTTGACTAAATACGTTAATTTCTTTGCTTTTAGTTCAAAGTGGAGTACAGAAGCAGCAATTACGGAACTTTTGGATTCTAATGTGATCTTTGGAAAACGTGAAAGAAAGCCGCCAGCACTATACAAGTCATGAACTGTTGTTTATATTTTTTGTTTTGTTTTTCTTTATAAAAAATTATTCTTTTTGTAGATCAGTCAGTACTGACTGTACACTCTTACTTTACCTGCTGCAGACTGTCTATTTTCTAGATACTGATTTCATATCTTTCTGCTTATATTTATTAAGCATATCTTTCTTTATTATTTCATATCTTTCTGCTTGTGTGCGTTTCTGGTTATCTTGTTTATTATTTTCTTATTTTTATTCTTTCTGATACTCACATAGAATAAAACTGAGCAAGAACAGCTGAAGAAAAAAAGCAAATGACTAAGAGCCTCTGTTACCAGCAGTGGTCCTGGAGTTCACTAATAAACCAGATTATTAACCTTTTGCACGATTTAATTCTTTTAGATGTACTCAACACTAAAATATGAACAAGATTTTGCTAATCGTTAATATAGCAGAAAAAAGATTCCTACGGTCTGTGTCGACATAGCTCATGGGAGGATGTCGACATCGACTATACAAGATTTTTCTATTCGTTAATATAGCAGAAAAAAGATTCCTACGGTCTGCATTATGGACTATTACATTTCATACACTTTACCATCGCAACATTGCATACATTTCATACAATTCATGCATTGCATGGCTATTATTGGTAATCACAAAAACGTTGTGAAACAGTTAAGGTAACCGGCCACTTATTGATGCTTTTCGTAGGAACATGCTGTGCATTGAGTAAAACTGATCAAGACTTGATATTTTCAGCGTCGATCAGCATCTCTGTTGCCTGTCGTTTGTTTTTGTTTTAATTACTCTCTGTTACTGTTGCCAAGTTTTCTAGAAAACCAGATTTTTCATTGTAAGTTGTGCACAATGCAAAATTAAAACAAAATTTTATTTTGGAACTTATTGTACATCATTTGATAGAGCATTTTGAGCTGATTAAGAAATGTATTTTTAATTTTAAAAAAAAACTTTGAGGGTGAAAAAATGAAAATACTTGAAGTACCTAACAAGTTGAAAAGTCCTTCAAGGTTGAAAATAGCTCAATATCTCAGTTCCAGACGACTATACAAATTTAAAAATATTTTTTCCTTGTTCAACATTGAAAACTGAATAGAATAATGCTGTTTGATCAATTTTGAATTTAAAAGTTTGTTCAGCATGGACGTTCGTCGATTAATCTGTATTTCTACCCTATCCGACCGACTACTTCAAGTATAAGTCGCAATATTTTCTCTGCAAATGTATATATTGTTT